TTAAGACATTGTACTCACTTGTCCAGTGACATCTTTGGGAAGGCGAACTTGCCCAGGCAGACATGGTAGATAGCGCTCAGGGGAATCTGCTGCAGCTGCACGCAGCTGAGCATGATGAAATCGTACTTGCAGATGAACAATGTCTTGTCTGTGAGCAGCAACATTCTCTCCTTCTCATTGTTCCAGTGGTCTATCCTGCAGGAATCATCAGGGAGGAGAAAGTGGGTGGCATCCATAGACTTTTCAAGTGTAAGATCAACATTCAAGGAAGCATCTAAGGAGAGGACAGTGAGGTTCAATAACTTCAGAAGAAAGAGAAGAAGAGAGACGCCTGATGCCACCCATCCTCTAGGCTGTCCCCATGGCTACAAGTGAGGAAATGTGTAGAATCTCAAAGAAATGTTTCACCAACACTGAGCTCAGAAAAGATTAGCCCTCATGAAATCCATTATTGGAATCCCAGGTTTGTAGTCCGTTGAAGCTGAACAGCTTTATGCCTCTCTACCCCACCTGGCTACCCAGGGACCTTTGTGGAGCACATCTTTCTCCAAGGATAGCAAAATAACTTTTGTTCTAACTCGGTCTGTGCTATGTTACAAAATTTACTCACTACACACCACCTTATTCTAATCTCCAAAGACTGCATCATTAACTATGGGGGGAAAAAGGAAGCTTAGATACAGGCCAACACTACCTGCTGCTCATCCTACCCCAAACTCCTGGTAGAGACAAACAGGCCAAGTAGTGTTCTTCCAAGCCAGGGACAGAGTAGCCCTCAGCTAAATGTCTACTGCCTCAATTTGCTGATCTGGAGTGAGAGGCTTTCAGCACGCTCGTGGAAAATTCTGCCTAAGAGTTAAGAATTCCTCTGAGGGCAAACAAAAAGGAATGAGCACAATAGTTTTTGATTGAAAATAGCTGAGCCTGTTCTACAGCTCCCTGATGCACAGTGTTTTTGCTTTCTACTGTAGCCTTTAGGATATAGCAATTTGTGGTTTATTAGGACCATTTCAGTGCACAGTTTTACTAAAAACAAAACTGAAAAGGTTAATTTGTGTGCAATTTAGGTCTGAGTTCTCACCACACAGAATGAATCTGAGGTGTGAATTATTTGGGCACACTGCTTCCGAGCATTCTCCATGCAGTAACCACCATGTACTTCTTAAAATAGAAGTTGACGGATGTCTCTCCCTTGTTCCCTCTATTCCACAGCGCACACACACACACACACACACACACACACACACACACACACACACCCCGACTTAAGAACAACCTCAAGGTCCTCGGCACAAACTGTAGGTCCATGTGCGGTTTGGCTTCTGTCCTGGGTCACCTCACAGCAGGGTGAGAAGACCCAGTGTTCAAGCTGTGGCTCAATGCCTCATTCAAAAAAGATCTCATATACTGCTCTGAAAGGTTGGCCCCTCGTCATACTTCTGAGAACACTGAGATCTTTTCTCCTTTGTGCACTGCATTTATCATCTTTTACAGGAAGGAATAATACATTAAATGTTTAGACAGCACAGTGAACACCAGCCTGCTAGAGTGGACACTAATATAGAGTGTGAGCCAACACAGTGAAGACGGGCTGTCTATGCTGCGTGTAAGAGTGTGTGTGCACATGTGTGTCAGTTCCAGGAGGGAAGAGATCCCCTCAGCAGGGTTATTGCTTCTATCTACTTCCTGTTGAGCACTCTGTACTCAACAAGTATCAGTAGAATGAGCACATAAATGCCAATTAGAATCACTCTGGCAGAGCTTGGGATCTTGGGTAGTGTGACAAGGTGGCTTGGGACGTTCTGCTCTGTCATTTACTAACTCTCAAGATTGTACCTCTAACTTTCTATGGTTCGAGCTATTTATTTATCTGTGCAATGGAGTCAATACTGGTACTGACCTCCTAAGTTTGGGATCAGGATTAAGGAAAATGATTCTTAGGGCTCTAACATTAGCTGTTGCAATCACAAGTAGAGGGCTAGGCCACTAAATGACTTATGGTAACTCAGGCTCTTCTGTGTCATTGTTACAGACATACTTACATGTCAACTTGCTGGATTGAGAGACTCTTTGGGAGGTGATTGGATGGTGGAGGTAGCATACTCATCGGTGGCTTTTGACAGTGAAATGTGGTAGGAGAGGGTGCAGCCCTGCTGGACATGGGCTGCTGGCCCCGTGTCTTTGGAAGGCGTGACTCCCTCCCACCCATGCTCTGCCTCCTGGCTGCTGGGCTGTGAGCACCTTTGCTTCATTACACACCTTTCTTCCATGACATTCCTGCCTTAGATCCAGTAGACCACGGACTGAAACACCTGAAACTGGGAGCCAAATAAATCCTTCCTCTTTTAAACTGTCCATGTTAAATATGTTTGTCCACCAACAAAATGTTGACTAATCCAGTCGTCCAAACAGAGATGCTCAAGATGAGCTTAGGGAGGAAAATTCAGAGGAAACATGGGCAACAGGAAAACACAGATGGGGAACAAAGAAGAAAGAAAAGGCAGAGGGAGGAAAGAGAAGAATGAGATCTTTGATAGACACCTCAGTGTGTGCCAGGCAGTGCATATTTTAACTATTAGCTCCAAAACTACCCACAACCCTGTGAAGAAGGTTACATCCAAAATTACCCCGCTAGCAAATGATACTAGAGTTAGCGTACAGTGGAAAGAAATACCCTAGAATCCAGCAAGCCTGGTTTAAGTCTTTGTTCTATGGTTTCCACCCCCTCTAGCACACAGTGATATTCAACTCCTACTCTACTGAAAGAAAGAACAAATTCTTGAGAGGCTGCTTAACATTCTCAATCTTAGGAAGAGACGGGGACTCTGAAATGTCTTCTCAGATATCTACATAAACTTCTCTAAATAGACCGAATCTACTTAGCAGTACATTATGAGCTGCTGCCTAATAAACCAGACTTGTTTTTACTCTTTAAAGAACTGCAGCTTTTGGTTGAATGGTTTCGCTGAAAATGTCAGCACTCCATAATGAGATTTATTTTAAAAGGTAAAGGATTCCGGGAAAAAGGAGCCTTCTTTTTAGGAACACAGAGTGTTCTGCTGTGACACAGACTCTGCATAATTTACATGTCAGGAATGTCTGAATTCAAGTAAACACACAGACTTATAAATAGTTTGGGGCCACCATCACCAGCTCCTGGGTGGCATATTTGTTTAGACTTCAATCACACCTTTTTCCCCTCTAAAGAACTCATGGAGAAAATATTGAATTCCATATTGCTGATATTAATACTTGAAGTCTTAAGGGCACTAATAACAACCAATACAGAAAGAGGACTAACAATAACGTACTGAGTTTGCAGAGCTTGTGAAGTTTTACCAAGTGCTGGAATATCAGTGTTCTCATTTAATTCTCACAGTAACCCTTCACACTACGTTTTACTACTCTCATTTTAAAGACTAGGAAACTAACGTCCACGGGCCCTTAAAGTGATCATCCAGTGTCTTGTGTATAAGCAAGAGGGGGCAGGGAGCTGAAGCAGAGCCTGAGCCACCAAATCTAGGAAGAGTGTCCGCTTTCTCCTCAGTGTTACCATTCCCAGAAAGAGGCCCCCGTAGAATGGTGGGCTTGGATGTGGTTAGATCCACCTGTGGAAAGAGTGCATTTGACGATGCACACCACTCCTGAAATAATTCTCTCTAGCAACTTTCTCCCCAGATCAAAGCATTTCACTGCCCTTCCCTCGCTTCAATGTCTTTGTCTAGGGGATTATCTCCCCATCCTGTGACAGAAACTGAGGAATCCTTCTCCATCCATAATATTCCCAACCATCCATGCCAATTCTTAACCATTTTATTGTCAAAGTATCTCAGAACTGCCCACTACCTCCTCCAGGACTGTTGAAATTGGCTTCTCACACCCCTGTGATGCTGGCCTCCAAGACCTGGTTTATCTGCATCTACTCTTGCTCTGTTTCCATCTCTTCACTCCATGGCAGTGAGAGGGTTTGGCCTTCACCACTCCCCAGGTTAAAATTGTTTATCAATTTCCTGTGGATCTATGAGAAATACCAGAAAGAATGAAGCTCATCTAGAAGGGTCTGGAAGGTTGGGCCCACCGACTCCTTCAGACTCGTCTCAGGCCAAGTCATTCCACTCAATTCTCCTTATTTCAATCTTGTTTCAATTGCTTTCACCTTGCCCCCTTCAACTTACAGGAGTTTTCACACACTGTTCCCTTTGCCACCCACCCTCTTTTTGGTCTTCTTCACATAACTAACTTTCATAGAGCTGAGAACCATCACTCCTGACCTCAGAAGGGCTGCTGAGCTCTCTGGGACCATGTCCCTCCTTTCTAATAGACACCTTCACAGCCCCACACACTTCGCTCCCATCACACTTATCCTGCAGGAAATTTTACAGTTATTTTATGATTACATAATGAATGTCTGACTCCTCTTCTCTTCTACAAACTCTGCAGAGTCAAAGTCTCATTCCAAGCCTTAATCCAAGGGGGCCAGTGTCCCAAGTGAATCTACCATGAATTAGAGAAGAAAAAGCTTCCCTCAGTACAACTCCTAAGGCCTGGCACAGGTTGGGGAACTCGGTGCTTCCTTTTACACAATGAAATATTCCCCCATAAACTGTCACATTGAAAATCAGTAACATTTGGGAAATGTCATGCCGTACAGTGAGAATAGGGTACAAATGTTACCTAGAGTTTCACTTCTGTAGCAACAAAACCAAAGTAATGCATGCTTCCAAATATTCATGTTGAATATTTCCAAGTGATGGAATTGCAAGCAATTTTCACTTTCCTTTGCTCTTATCTACCCCAGTGTACTTTATAAAAAAATTTGCTATCTTTGCAGTAAAATAGACATTTTTTAAGATGCCTGTGGTCCTCAAGGTTCCCAGTTTAATGCTATTATCCCAAAGTACAATCATCTTTCTTCTTCCTTTAAATGCACACAAACCTCCCAAACCTGTACAGTACCGCACTTATCAACCTAGTCACAATGTTCTCTTTATTACACGACCCATTGCCCTGCACACATTAAATAGGAGCTTTTCCACTGCAGAACTGATGCCTTAATCCTTTCTGGGTTTCTACACTCAACACAGAAAAAGAGGGTCTCAGTAAGCATATAAAGCACGGAATAAGATCCAGCCCCTCTCTTGTGAGAGACGGGTTGGCCTGGCAGAATATTCATTGTGTTGTCTAGCCTCCGCTGT